TTCAAGCAGACCACCATAGTCCCTGTGCCCAAGGAAGCGAATATAACCTGCCTAAATGATTACCGCTCCCTAGCACTCATGTCGGTAGCCAAGAAGTGCTTTGAAAAGCTGGTCATGGCACTCATCAACAGCATAATCCCGGATACCCTAGACCCACTCCAATTCGCATATCGCCCAAACAGATCCACAGATGACGCAATCTCAATCGCATTCCACACTGCCCTTTCCCACCTGGACCAAAGGAACACCTGTGTGAGAATTCTGTTCATTGACTACAGCGCAGCGTTCAAAACCATAGTTCCCACAAAGCTCATCACTAAGCTAAGGACCCTGGGACTAAACACCTCCCTCTGCAACTGGATCCTGGACTTTCTGACAGGCCGCCCCCAGGTGGTAAGGGTAGGACACAACACGTCTGCCACGCTGATCCTCAACACTGGGGCCCCTCGGGTGCGTACTTAGTTCCCTCCTTTACTCCCTGTTCACTGACAACTGCGTGGGCCAAACACGACTCCAACACATTAAGTTTGCTGATGACACAACAGAACAGTGATAGGCTTGATCACCGACAACGATGAGACAGCCTATAGGGAGGAGGTCAGAGACCTGGCATTGTGGTGCCAGGACAACAACCTCTCCCTCAATGTGAGCAAGACAAAGAAGCTGATCATGGACTACAGGAAAAGGCGGGCCGAACAGGCCCCCATTAACATCGACGTGGCTGTAGTGGAGCAGGTCGAGAGCTTTAAGTTCCTTGGTGTCTACATCACCAACAAACTATCATGGTCCAAACACACCAAGACAGTTGTGAAGAGGGCACGACAACACCTTTTCCCCCTCAGGGGACTGAAAAGATTTGGCATGGGTCCCCAGATCCTCAAAGTTCTACAGCTGCACCATTGAGAGCATCCTGACCGGTTGCCATACCAGGCAGTGATGCAACTGCTCGGCATCTGACCGTAAGGCGCTACAGACGGTAGTGCGTACGGCTCAGTACATCACTGGGGCCCAGCTTCCTGCCATCCAGGACCTATATACTAGGCGGTGTCAGAGGAAAGGCCAAGAAATTGTCATAGACTGTTTTCTTTGCTACCTCACGGCAAGCAGTACCGGAGCACCAAGTCTAGAACCAAAAGGCTCCTTAACAGCTTCTACCCCCAAGCCATAAGACTGCTGAACAATTAATCAAATGGCCACCCGGACTATTTACATTGACACCCCTCCACTTTACCCCTACCTACATGTACAAATTACCTCAACTAACCTGTATCCCCGCACACTGACTCTGTACCGGTACCCCCTGTAGATAGCCTCGTTATTGTTATTTTGTTACTTTTTATAATTTTTTACTTTAGTTTATTTGGTAAATATTTTCTTAACTCTTTCTTGAACTGCATTGTTGGTTAAGGGCTTGTAAGTAAGCATTTCACGGTAAGGTCTACACCTGTTGTATTCGGCGCATGTGACAGTTTGATTTGAAAAATGGAAGTGGTCTGAATACTTTCTGAATGCACTGTATATATGCCATTTAGCAGACAGGTTTATCCAAAGTTACTTAGTCATGCGTGCATAAATGTATCGTATGGTTGGTCTTGGGAATCGAACCCACTATCCTGCCGTTGCAAGCACCATGCTCTACCAACTGAGCTACAGTGGACCACATATTCTCTCCTCGTGTTGGTTACAGATGGTGGGGCTGCAACTGCCTGGTATAATGTCCGGTTCAGTTATGTAAATAAAGTCTACCCTCAAGGAAAACTAGGGGCTTTACTTTCCACTTACATATGGTATACAACTGTATGAAAATGTACCTTTGCCGTAGTGTTTCTTGCTAGAAACTGAAGTAAACACTGAACAAGTGAAATGCAGTTTTAATTGAGTCGGTTTGTCTTTGTAATCTGTTGTGTAGATAGCACATGAACTGTTTCATGCAGACCTGGGTTCAAGTACATTTGTATTTGTATTTTTCTGGATCAAAAAGGGGTTTAGGTGGTGGGTGTGCCTTGGGCGTGGCCAACCCATCAGCGCAACTGAATTCGGTCAAGGCCCAGGGCAAGAATTCTTTACATTTTTTATAATTCTTTATATTTTTTAAGCCATTTCCTTCAATTCTACACAGAGACATTTTGCAATTCTACACCTTTTGCCATGGAGCTGAGAGAAATGTTGCAGTTTTTAAGCAAATTTCCTGCAATTCTATACATTCTGCCAGGGAGCTGATCGAAAAGTTTGCTGGTTTAACGCACATTTCATGTAATTCTCTGCATTTTTGCCATGGCAAACAAAACAATCAAGGCTCATGAGTAAGTCATAGTTTTTGTCTAGCTTTTATTTTAGTGATTGTTAGTTCTCAAATATCTATTATAAAAAAATATATAGGTCCTTTTCTACATGCTTTATATCTGGTTTTAGTCGTATACGTTTTTAAACTTAGTGTTAATTTTTTTACGCTGGGTGACTTAGAAAAATGCTTAGGTGGCCCGCCCAATACTTTTCTATGACAACCTGATTTTAAAAATGTATTTTTTGTGTATTTGAGTATTTTCAAATAATGTGACCTGAATCAACTACTTCTATTTGAAAGCATCTTCTAATCATTTCAAATACTATTTTCAAATACCTTGGTTAAATGCATGGGAGTGTATTTGAGTCAATGTATTTGAGTATTTTCAAATACATGCCAATACTTTCCAAGTTTATTTCCAAATACATTACAATATTCAATTACTTATCTTTTCAAATAAAACCTATCTGAATACTTACCTCGAAATGTATGTGAAAGTAATTTATATATTTGAAATAGTATTTGAACCCAGGTTAGGTTTTATGTCCATGGCTGATAGTGGAATAAAACACTTGGCTATTCTAGAAAAGTGACTATAATATTACTGAGGCTACCTATGAATAATCCCAGTAGGATCTATTTAACATTGACTGACATATTGTCTACAGTGCCCTCTGTAGTGTTTTTTTATTGTTGTGAAGTATTTGTTTAGTTTGTCTATCAATATCCCTGTATACTACCTACCGCATTGTGCACTGGACCAAGGCACTTTACCCCTTAGAGCTCCAGGGAAGCTGCTCTACTGCAGACCCTGTGCTGCTTCCAGCCTGTGATGTGTTGTGTGTCATGTTGGGTACCACGGTGACAGCAAAAATCAAGTATACAGTGGGGGAAAAAAGTATTTAGTCAGCCACCAATTGTGCATGTTCTCCCACTTAAAAAGATGAGAAAGGCCTGTAATGTTCATCATAGGTACACGTCAACAATGACAGACAAATTGATGAAAAGAAATCCAGAAAATCACATTGTAGGATTTTTTTATGAATTTAGTATTTGGTCACCTACAAACAAGCAAGATTTCTGGCTCTCACAGACCTGTAACTTCTTCTTTAAGAGGCTCCTCTGTCCTCCACTCATTACCTGTATTAATGGCACCTGTTTGAACTTGTTATCAGTATAAAAGACACCTGTCCACAACCTCAAACAGTCACATTCCAAACTCCACTATGGCCAAGACCAAAGAGCTGTCAAAGGACACCAGAACCAAAATTGTAGACCTGCACCAGGCTGGGAAGACTGAATCTGTAATAGGTAAGCAGCTTGGTTTGAAGAAATCAACTGTGGGAGCAATTATTAGGAAATGGAAGACATACAAGACCACTGATAATCTCCCTCGATCTGGGGCTCCACGCAAGATCTCACCCAGTGGGGTCAAAATGATCACAAGAACGGTGAGCAAAAATCCCAGAACCACACGGGGGGACCTAGTGAATGACCTGCAGAGAGCTGGGACCAAAGTAACAAAGCCTACCATCAGTAACACACTACGCCGCCAGGGACTCAAATCCTGCAGTGCCAGACGTGTCCCCCTGCTTAAGCCAGTAAATGTCCAGGCCCGTCTGAAGTTTGCTAGAGTGCATTTGGATGATCCAGAAGAGGATTGGGAGAATGTCATATGGTCAGATGAAACCAAAATAGAACTTGTTGGTAAAAACTCAACTCGTCGTGTTTGGAGGACAAAGAATGCTGAGTTGCATCCAAAGAACACCATACCTACTGTGAAGCATGGGGGTGGAAACATCATGCTTTGGGGCTGTTTTTCTGCAAAGGGACCAGGACGACTGATCCGTGTAAAGGAAAGAATGAATGGGGCCATGTATCGTGAGATTTTGAGTGAAAACCTCCTTCCATCAGCAAGGGCATTGAAGATGAAACGTGGCTGGGTCTTTCAGCATGACAATGATCCCAAACACACCGCCCGGGCAACGAAGGAGTGGCTTCGTAAGAACCATTTCAAGGTCCTGGAGTGGCCTAGCCAGTCTCCAGATCTCAACCCCATAGAAAATCTTTGGAGGGAGTTGAAAGTCTGTGTTGCCCAGCGACAGCCCCAAAACATCACTGCTCTAGAGGAGATCTGCATGGAGGAATGGGCCAAAATACAAGCAACAGTGTGTGAAAACCTTGTGAAGACTTACAGAAAACATTTGACCTGTGTCATTGCCAACAAAGGGTATATAACAAAGTATTGAGAAACTTTTGTTATTGACCAAATACTTATTTTCCACCATAGTTTTCAAATAAATTCATAAAAAATCCTACAATGTGATTTTCTGGATTTTTTTTCTTCTCATTTTGTCTGTCATAGTTGACGTGTACCTATGATGAAAATTACAGGCCTCTCATCTTTTTAAGTGGGAGAACTTGCACAATTGGTGGCTGACTAAATACTTTTTTCCCCCCACTGTATCTGTGCAAATGGACCAATAAAGCAAGTGTTGTATTGTTTTATTATCAGGTATATGATGGGCCTGTGTAGCTGTCTCTGTTTGTTTAGTGTGGGAGGCAGTATGACTTTGCTTTGCTCATCATCATCTTACATCTGTGTCTATAGGCCTCAGGACACATTACTGCATCCCTTGTAGGCATAACCACATAACCTGCCATTATCACCACCAACTGTTTTTTCAAGCAAATTGTATTTTTGTCTGTATATTTAAGGTTTTTTTTGATCGACTGAATAAAGGAGAAAAGAGGCCATCAAAATGCTGCGAGAAGTGGGATCCAGTATTATGGTGTTTTATGAGTATGTGTTGCAAAGAACGGGTGAGTGCTTTCGCTTAAGTTTATATTTTTATTATTTCAATTTTATTTAAATCAATTTGGTGATTTGCAGTTTGTACCATGCTATTGGTGTAGCCTGTATTGTTGTCTCAAAAATATTGATTAATTGCTTGATTTCTTGTCCTCAGACCACCGGTTGTTGCCCTATCCGTTGATGCGGACCCCCTTCCAGATGACCAGCATCCTGATGGGCTATGTGTTCTTCTCGCTGTACGCAGGGCCTCGGTTGATGGCCAACCGCAAGCCCTATAACCTTAAAACAGCCATGATCGTCTATAACTTCAGCATGGTGTCCCTGAATGCCTTCCTAGTCTATGAGGTGAGCAAAGCAGTTAGTCATTCAGGAGAATGAAAGTTCTTCAAAGAAATCAAAGAGCCTTGTTGTGAAGACATACTGTAGTAAGACTTTTCCCAGCGTTTATGAATGGATGATATGACAGCGAGTTCTGTGCTTTGCCTTTGAAGTTCCTGATGTCAGGATGGGGCACCACCTTTACCTGGAGATGTGACCTGTGTGACTACTCAAGCAACCCACAGGCTCTGAGGGTAAGTTATTTTCTTTGAGTGAATCTGTATTGCATCTCATGATGGCATCTTTTTTCATAACATTTCAAAAAATATTTTTACATTTTACTTTACATTTGAACATGCATATGATGTGATATTTTATTCCATGCTATTTCTTTTCTGTACTTTTGTTCTCCTTTTGTCAGATGGTTCAAGTGGCCTGGTGGTTTTTCTTCTCTAAATTAACCGAGCTTCTGGATACCGTAAGAATGATTTCTCTATCTGAACATCATGTTTGTGAATAAAATGTTTGATGCTAGCCTAAATCATTTAGATTTTGTACATGTTCTGACTGCATCTTTCTCCGACACCCTTAGTAAAATACAAATGGTTATATCTGAACAATGTTTGCTTAAAGTAACTTGAGCTCTTGTCTGATTTTCAGTTTTTCTTTGTGCTGCGTAAGAAACACAGCCAAATCACATTTCTACACGTCTTCCATCACTCCTTCATGCCCTTCACGTGGTGGTGGGGAATTACCATTGCTCCTGGTAAGCTTGACCTCATGATGACATCATCATCCCCATGTAGTGTGCTTACAGCTGGTCATATAACCTGTTTTAACTTTACATTAACTTTTGGGGGGTTGTTAAATAAACCTTATCACCACAATGAATGCTCTGCAATTTTACAAGGGAATAAGAACGCTAAACAAAATCCATTTAGTAACATTTATTTTGTTATCCCCCTGTGACTATTAAGAATTACTCTTGGAGTATGTTTGTGTGTTTTTAAAACTGTGCTTGTCATATTGTGAACCTCCAGCAGGGGGAATGAGCTCGTTCCATGCCATGGTCAACTGCTGTGTCCACGTCATCATGTACACCTACTACGGCCTGTCTGCTGCTGGACCTCGCTTCCAGAAATACCTCTGGTGGAAGAAGTACATGACTGCAATCCAGCTGGTGGGTGTTCTTTCTTAATGATGTACTAGTTTCTGCCAATATGTTAAAGGGAAGCATTGATTTGTGGGTAGCTGCCGGTATTACTGTTGTGAATTAGTGAGTCCTGCGCCATCTACACACCAATATGTTCTTTCTTCTTTATTTAGGTCCAGTTTGTGCTGATCTCACTTCACATCTCTCAGTACTACTTCATGGAGAAGTGTGACTTTCAGGTGCCCATGTTCATTCACCTTATCTGGATGTACGGCACCTTCTTCTTCCTACTCTTCTCCAACTTCTGGATTCAGGCCTACGTGAAGGGGAAACGGCTGCCTACGGCAACCATGGAGAAGCTAAAGCAGAATGGCGTTATCAACGGCATTATCAACGGCGACGTTACCGTGGTCCTCAACGGCAAGCCACTGGAGAATGGCAACGGGACAACAGCGCATCGTGTCAACGGCCATAACCAACTAGGCAAAGTGAAGGAAGTCTAGTTTTGTTCTTTTGGAAGGGGAAACATAACTGTCTGAAGGAGCCTCCAAAATGCCAAAGATTCCAAAAAAGTATACTTTTATATTAGCTACTGATCACTTTCCTCAAATGTATATTTTTATATTTATCCCCACAGTTTGTGGGATATGAATGGCGTAATGGATTTGGCAGTTAGTCCCTACTTGCTGCACTGTGTTTGTTAAATTGTGGGTGGTTGAGGGAACATAGTGTGATCTAACTGTAGATCACCCTGTATGAAGAGGTGTCATCGTCACTAATATTCACCTCAAACCCAGGCTTGAAACAGCCAATGATAGCCCACCCATGGACTCTTTTGGCTGGCATTGCTTGAGAATATTGTAGTTTTGACTGAAAGGACTGGAACACGCTTGTAAATAGCGTACACAGTTCACTTTCAAAGAGGTGGGGTTTGTGTTAATGTCCAACAGTTTTTTTTGCTGCTGTTTGTATATTTAACTTCTTGAAATAAAACCTATTTTAAGTGTAAGGCTGTCAGTCATTACTTACCTTGAGGCACATAAGGCATCCACAAGAAAGCTGCTGTATCCGGTCTGCAGCAGCATTCTTGGTAAGGGTCCTCCAGGTCAGGCCATAGTTCTTGTTGCTTTTGAATGTTCTGGCTTTCCTTCAATGTCCAGCATAGGGAAATCACAGGGTGCATGTCTGATGGTAGTCTGCACATGTCCCAGCCATCTTTTCCTCACCATCAGTCAAGGGTGTACTCTACTTTTCAAGTTCATTAAAAGGTTACCCCATATTTAACTGTTCTAAACCTAAGGCAAGTGTCTCACTGAGACGTTCTAGAATTCTTCATTCCTGGAGATGTTGCTCAGGAACTGAACATAACCTGGAGAAAGTAACTGGAAAGCACCCATTGGTTCACTGCAGTCGTTCTGCTAGTTTCAAAAGATTGCTGTTCCTAAAATGTTATCAATGCCTGGAGTGGTCTGTACATCAGACTTGACCTAGAACTAGTCCTGTCTTTGGACAAGCAGTCGGAACTCCCCTGCTGCCACGTCAGATTGCTATAAACTTGGTTAGCTGATATGCAAAATACCTATCCAGGCATCAGCAACGCGCCCAATATTATGCACTCCAGAAATTAAACTAGTGAGTCACCCCTGAAACGCCCAATACAACTATAAGCAATAAATCAAAGGCAGAAATTAGTTTGGGTTCCAGCAAATAAATGAAGTTCAGTTATACATTGAATGAGTGTCTTAACAGTATTTGCAAAAATAAACTAGTTACTATAATATTTGTAAATCAAAAGTTGTGGCAAGGCTGCAAAATATTCAAACGCAAGATAATGTAAGTCGCCATCTTTATTTCACAGTGAATACAAACAATTCGTACATAATTTAGTAAAAACTATTCAGAGGAGTTGATCAATAACTTGAAAACATACAATACAAAAGTCCATTATAGGATAGATTGGTGTATAATGTTGCTGGTGGACTTAATCTCCTTTGCCTTCTTTTTGACTGGATCCAGCTCAAAGCTCTTCCAGAACCGGACAGTTTTATCACCAGCTAGTGGCGATAGTCGAGCAGTCTGGACTCATGGTAATGTTCAAGACTCTGCCCTTGTGACCTGGGATGAAAAAGAAAAAACAGTTTACGGTTTCAGTTTTGAACTTTGACCTCAGAATAAATCCAAGGCTACAGTTTGAAACGTGTACTCTGAGACCACCATCTGCAGGAGACGCACAGCCCAAACATGCACCTCCCCACAATTCCCAACCAATGTAGCTCCGGTACGAGTCCTCTATTAGTTTGAATGGGTTGACAGTTGGAGAAATTGCTAGAGCTGCGCTGAGAATTCGTAAAGTATGATAGCCAACGGTCAAATATTTGGACTATGATAGACACTAACAGCTTCAGACAACAATGCTCTTTGTCAACTTACACATTAATGACAACTGACCAATTTACACAGAGCCGTTAAGTTTATACATAAATGAATAGCTGTTTCAGACCAGACAATTACCATTGAGCTCTGCCACTTTAGTCAAGGAGGGGTACTTCCAGATGACTACGTTGTCGTGGGCATATCCGTGGCTGGAGACCAATTCCTTGTAGTTTGGCGCAAACATCAAAGAGGAGACCTGTAAGGCAGATTTGACCACCAGTTAACTTCTGATCATATGGCATAGCAGTTATGAAAGTAAACTCACTTCAAAAGGTGACTGGTATGCAAACACACATGCGGCTATGACTGAGCAGGGACCTGGAGGTAATATCAACCTGGTCAATTTTGATAGACTTCACAACCCCATTAGAGTTCAAGGTGAGTGCAGTTACCTGAGACTGAGTGTCCAGAGCACTGATGCAGGAACCACTGTTGACGTTCCAGATGCGGATGTGTCAGTCACTGGTGCCACCTCCAGACGCAAGAATGTTGGGTTGCCATGGGCACCAGGCCAAAGCCTAAGACATTTTAGTAAGATACAATCATTAGGGTTCCCGAGTGGCGCAGCGGTCTAAGGCACTGCATCTCATTGTAAATAAGAATTTGTTCGTAACTCACTTGCCTAGTTAAATAAAGGTTAAATATATATATATTTTAAATAAAGCGTTGGGCATCTCTTCAAAGAGAGGACATGTGCATCAAATTGTGTCATGTAATTCAACCCCAACTCTTTCAATAAAAACATTGTAGTTTAGCATTTCACACCAAGAATGATAGTTTTAAGTTCAAAGTTTGTTCACCTTGACTGCTCCTTGGTGCTCACTGAAGCGGTGGACAGAACTACTGCCTTGGCCGCTGCCCTCCTGGCCACACATACACCAGGTTGTCATTGCCTCCGCTGGCCAGGTATCTCCCATCAGGGGACCACATCAGCCCACACACACACCTCCTGAGAGTGCCCAGACAGGGTGAAGATGTGGTGGTCGGCTACCCTCACGTCATGGTGGTGGATGTGACCGGATCTGGAGCCACTGGAAAAAGCAATAATCATAAAATGGTTAATCAACAACAATAAGGCTGTTTGCACAGGCAGCCCAATTCTAATATTTTTGCCCAATTGACAAATGAAGTGATCTGATTAGTCAAAAGACTAATAATTGGAAAAAATATTAGAATTGGGCTGTCTGTAGATAGATTAGAACATTTTGGCCACAAGTATCACACAAAAGATCCTGGAGGGACAGAGACTTGACTATTCAAAATGTGACGTTCAAATCATGATCCTTTACCTGGAGAGAACATGATTGTTCCAACTCAGACTGGCAACTCTGGCAGTGTGGCTGGCCATGCTGCGTAGACGCTTCTGGTTCTCCACATCCCACAACTACGGTCAGTCAAATTCAGGTGAAATATAAAATAAAATAAACATCAAATCATTATTTTCTCTCCAACAACATAAAATTGCAATGAAGCCAAAAAATTTTTTTGAATGGTGAGTTGTTCACTTAAGACATTTACCTGAACTTTGCAGTCACTGGTACCAATGGCCAGGAAGTTGCCCTCCTTGATCCACGACACGGAGCAGATATAGTCCTCCTCCCGTTCCATCTTCATCAGCAGGACGATGTCACCCTGGGCGGCGTCCCACAGGCAAACGCTGTTGTGAAGTGCAACCGCTAGAAGGTTCCGACTGCTCCAGTCCAGTAGGTTCAAATCTGTGGGAACAGACATTTTAGTCATTTAGCAGACGCTCTTATCCAGAGCGACTTACAGTTAGTGCATACATTTTTCATACTGGCCGAACCCACAATCCTGGCGTTGCAAGCACCATGCTCTACCAACTGAGCTAGAGGAGGGCCAAAGGTAAATAGACCGTTAAAGTCAGTTAAAGAATGCTCCTGCCACCACCACTCCGATTTAATTAAGTTGATAGAGTGACGATAAAAAGGGCCAGATCCCAACTTGAGATAGTTGCTCTAATCACTTTCTGCAAATTTCCCACTGAAATCAATGTGTGATTTACATGCAGACAGCAGGCCCATGTTTCACCCACAGCTAGGATTACTCTCCAGGTAGGTTACTGGACATTTACTGTGTTGGCAGGAGACTCACTCCTCAATTTGTAGTTCAGGAGCATCTAAGACAGACCTCTACGATAGGTCCCTCTGTACCTTCTCCCCAGACAGGTTATTAGACATTTGTGGTACTGTGTTGGCAGGAGACCCACAGAAATCATTTCGGAGTTCAGAAGCATCTAAGATTCTGTCAGGTACAGATGATATGTATCTGGTCATTTTGGTGGAGACTGGGGTAGGAACTTGACTGTAGAGGACTGTCAGGTTGTTCTGGTAACCTGCAAAGAAAAGAGAATGGGACATTAGATTCTGATATCAACTGACAAGTCACGCCATCATTACCAACGGTAGGCCTACCTTCTGGAGCATTCAAGGGTTTTCCTCCCAGATGCAAGATCTTTGCCTCCTCAATGTCATATCCATTGAGTGTGACAGACCAAGCCTTCTAGTTATCCTACGAAGACAAATGTGCAGATTTTGACCTACAATGCAATATTAACAAATGTGCTGATGTTAGAGAAGAGCCTCACCGGAGGGGTTTGTGTCCATAGGCTCATTTTCCTTTGAGAGCAGGAAGCTTGCCACCTCCATCTGTTTGTTGTTCCTAGTGGGAAAGAAACGGTCACCACCTGCCTTTGAAGGTGTGCACTTACTATTTTTACCTAAGAAAAGAGAGAAGGACAAATTAGTGGAACCCTAGGTGAAACCACTAATTGGCAACAGTGCCACACCCATAGACAGCTGAAAGACACTAGACAGAAGCAAATGTAGTAGAGCAAAATTCAAAGGTGAAAAGCTAAATAGTAGTTAGTTACCTGGTGTTTTACTAGGCGTCTTGGACATAGTAAGAGATCTATTTGCGGATTTGCCAGGTGATAGAGCGCTGGTGTTGGCACTGCTGGTCGACATGGACGAACTGGCTTTTCTTTGCCACCTCGCCATGGGCGCGTTTGTGATTGGCATATACAGCTTCAGAATGTTGTGAATATCATTCTCGAATCCAAATTGGGCCATGTTTGAATCTGCCTTTCGGACTCCATGCAGGGTACAAGAATAAAAGTATTGTTTTGAACTTATACTAAGAAAAACGTATAGCTACTTAACTAACACGTACATTTAGTTAATCTTTGCCAACTCAATTCACTGACGTTTGATAGTTAACGTTACCTCAAATTAAACGGACAACTTTAGCTAGCTAACGTTAGCTACCTGGCAAACTTGCTGCCTTTCCCCGTCATTTACGATACTATTTACATTGTATGCAACAAAACATTCAATTTAGGTGTTAACAAATGTGAGCTATGCTACTTACTCCAACTTAATTCCAAACGTCGTTATTGACAAACGGTACTTTTACATCTACCTAAAAGGAACATCACCTCCCAAACTTTTCTGAGACGTGTTTCTTTCTGCAACAGGTAAAGTTATAATTTTTTAAAGAACGATGACGACACTTCTTTAAATGACTTAATGCACTGTCATGATTGGTTTATTTAAAAAGGTTTAGGAGGTAATCGAGGAAGCGGAATAGTATCCGTTAGTCTGATTGGTGGAAAAGGTAGACGTCAACTTCCTGAATAATTAACGACAAAAGAAAATGTCGTCACACCTTTTCGAAGGACAGGATAGAATCAATAACATCGCCGCCTAGCGAAAATAATGTGGAGACCACTGAGTATTTAAAGAGTTTATTTCAGTTTGGCTCTTGTTCATAATAATCTGTCATGCCACTAGCCTATCTGCACTGTATCTGCGAGCTGTTGGCTCACGTGCCAAGCACAAGAGTAGGCATATTTGCTATGTTACCCATTTACATTTTACATTTACGTCATTTAGCAGACGCTCTTATCCAGAGCGACTTACAAATTGGTGCATTCACCCTATAACCAGTGGGATAACCACTTTTTAAAGGGGGGGGGGGGGGGGTAGAAGGATTACTTTATCCTATCCCAGGTATTCCTTAAAGAGGTGGGGTTTCAAATGTCTCCGGAAGGTGGTGAGTGACTCCGCTGTCCTGGCGTCGTGAGGGAGCTTGTTCCACCATTGGGGTGCCAGAGCGAACAGTTTTGACTGGGCTGAGCGGGAACTATGCTTCCGCAGAGGAAGGGGAGCCAGCAGGCCAGAGGTGGATGAACGCAATGCCCTCGTTTGGGTGTAGGGACTGATCAGAGCCTGAAGGTACGGAGGTGCCGTTCCCCTCACAGCTCCATAGGCAAGCACCATGGTCTTGTAACAGATGCGAGCTTCAACTGGAAGCCAGTGGAGTGTGCGGAGGAGCGGGGTGACGTGAGAGAACTTGGGAAGGTTGAACACCAGACGGGCTGCGGCATTCTGGATGAGTTGTAGGGGTTTAATGGCACAGGCAGGGAGCCCAGCCAACAGCGAGTTGCAGTAATCCAGACGGGAGATGACAAGTGCCTGGATTAGGACCTGTGCCGCTTCCTGTGTAAGGCAGGGTCGTACTCTCCGAATGTTGTAGAGCATGAACCTGCAGGATCGGGTCACCGCCTTGATGTTAGCGGAGAACGACAGGGTATTGTCCAGGGTCATGCCAAGGCTCTTCGCACTCTGGGAGGAGGACACAACGGAGTTGTCAACCGTGATGGCGAGATCATGGAACGGGCAGTCCTTCCCCGGGAGGAAGAGCAGCTCCGTCTTGCCAAGGTTCAGCTTGAGGTGGTGATCCGTCATCCATACTGATATGTCTGCCAGACATGCAGAGATGCGATTCGCCACCTGGTTATGAGAAGGGGGAAAGGAGAAGATTAGTTGTGTATCGTCAGCGTAGCAATGATAGGAGAGGCCATGTGAGGATATGACAGAGCCAAGTGACTTGGTGTATAGCGAGAATAGGAGAGGGCCTAGAACTGAGCCCTGGGGGACACCAGTGGTGAGAGCACGTGGTGCGGAGACAGCTTCTCGCCACGCCACTTGGTAGGAGCGACCGGTCAGGTAGGACGCAATCCAAGAGTGAGCCGCGCCGGAGATGCCCAGCTCGGAGAGGGTGGAGAGGAGGATCTGATGGTTCACAGTATCAAAGGCAGCAGACAGGTCTAGAAGGACAAGAGCAGAGGAGAGAGAGTTAGCTTTAGCTGTGCGGAGAGCCTCCGTGACACAGAGAAGAGCAGTCTCAGTTGAATGACCAGTCCTGAAACCTGACTGGTTAGGATCAAGAAGGTAATTCTGAGAGAGATAGCAAGAGAGTTGGCTAAAGACGGCACGCTCAATAGTTTTGGAAAGAAAATAAAGAAGGGATACTGGTCTGTAGTTGTTGACATCAGAGGGATCGAGTGTTGGTTTTTTGAGAAGGGGTGCAACTCTCGCTCTCTTGAAGACGGAAGGGACATAGCCAGCGGTCAAGGATGAGTTGATCAGCGAGGTGAGGTAGGGGAGAAGGTCACCGGAGATGGTCTGGAGAAGAGAGGAGGGGATGGGGTCAAGCGGGCAGGTTGTTGGGCGGCCTGCATTCACAAGTCGCAAGATTTTATCTGAAGAGAGAGGGGAGAAAGAAGTCAAAGCATAGGGTAGGGCAGTGTGAGCAGGACCAGCAGTGTCATAAGACTTAACAAACGAGGATCGGATGTCGTCAACCTTCTTTTCAAAGTGGTTGACGAAGTCATCCACAGAGAGGGGGGGGGGGGGGGGGGGGAGGAGGATTCAGCAGGGAGGAGAATGTGGCAAAGAGCTTCCTAGGGTTAGAGGCAGATGCTTGGAATTTAGAGTGGTAGAAAGTGGCCTTAGCAGCAGAAACAGATGAAGAAAATGTAGAGAGGAGGGAGTGAAAAGATGCCAGGTCCGCAGGGAGTCTAGTTTTCTTCCATTTCCGCTCAGCTGCCCGGAGCTCTGTTCTGTGAGCTCGCAATGAGTCATCAAGCCACGGAGCTGGAGGGGAGGACTGAGCCGGCCGGGAGGATAGGGGACACAGAGAGTCAAAGGATGCAGAAAGTGAGGAGAGGAGGGTTGAGGAGGCAGAATCAGGAGATTGGAGGGAGAAGGATTGAGCAGAGGGAAGAGATGATAGGATGGAAGAGGAGAGAGTAGTGGGAGAGAGAGAGCGAAGGTTGCGGCGGCGCATTACCATCTGTGTAGGGGCAGAGTGAGTAGTGTAGGAGGAGAGCGAGAGAGAAAAGGATACAAAGTAGTGGTCGGAGACATGGAGGGGAGTTGCAGTGAGATTAGTAGAAGAGCAGCATCTAGTAAAGATGAGGTCAAGCGTATTGCCTGCCTTGTGAGTAGGGGGGGACGGTGAGAGGGTGAGGTCAAAAGAGGAGAGGAGTGGAAAGAAGGAGGCAGAGAGAAATTAGTCAAATGTAGACGTAGGGAGGTTGAAATCCCCCAAAACTGTGAGGGGTGAGCCATCCTCAGGAAAGGAACTTATCAAGGCGTCAAGCTCATTGATGAACACTGTTACCCAACAGTGTTTGTGACAAAACTATATCGGTATTGTTGAAAATGCGATAGAAACACATTGAACTCTCGATTTTAATTCGGTACATGAAAACTTGAAAAACTACAATTTGTGTGCACTATGTCATCACGATTTGTATCCAAAACAAGTCCGTTTGTGGAAACAACACTGGTGAGTAAAATGCACATATTTTCTTTAGGCGGATGTTAGAGAATTCGCATTAAAATATGTCGCAATTGGATGCAAACCTAGCTAGTAATGAGGAAATAAATGCTAGATTTGTCTTTAATTTGTCTTTGTCCAATTATTGGAATTTCCGGAGGCGTGGTCTTCGACGTCACATCATTTCACTACGCAGCCCTTTGCAACAGCAGTTTCGGGAGGAAGAGCTAGCAAGTCAATTGCCAGCCATTCGTAAACGTAGTTAGCTACATATTCGTATTTATTGGAGACCCTCCGACAATAAACCACCAAGATGTTCAACAGAATGACAAGCCTTTGGATGGGGGATGTATGTTCGCTCTGTTTTAATCATTTTGCACTAACGTTACTGGTAACAAACGTTTTAGCACAGACAATTGTTTTTTGTTAGTTAGCTAACTTAGCTATTTTAGCAACGTAATTTACTAGTTAGCTAACGTTAGATAAGTTTCCCCAAACAATTGTTGTTAGGTAATGTGTATGGTGTTATTTTAAAAACAGGATAAGAAATACAGTCAATGATGTATACGCAGTGTTTACTTCTCTAAAGTAACGTTAACGTTCCCGACAGTTTGGTTAACGTTCGCTTGCTAGTAAGTTATGGTGACGCTGCCCTGGTTGGGCCTAGTAGTAGCTATGGCAGCGCCTTGTAATAGTGTACTAGTACTTAGTACTACTAGTACCTAATAACAGCCACTCCTGGGCCCAGGTAGAAATGTGGGTAAACATTTGTTGAATGTCATTCTTTGGCCACATTATTTTTTTGTTTGGTATTTTATTAGGATCCCAATTAGCTGTTGCAAAAGCAGCAGCAGCTACTCTTCCTGGGGTCCACATGAAACATGACATAATACAGAACATTAATAGACAAGAATAGCTCAAGGACAGAACTACATAAAACCATTTTTAAAGGCACACTTAGCCTACATATCAATACATACAAACTATCTAGGTCAAATAGGGGAGAGGGGTTGTGCCTTGAGGTGTGTATTATCTGTTTTTTTGAAACCAGGTTTGCTGTTTTTGAGCAATATGAGATGGAACAGAGTTCCATGCAATAATGGCTCTATATAATACTGTATGCTTTAATTTGTTCTGGATTTGGGCACTATGAAAAGACCCCTGGTGGCATGTCTGGTGGGGTAAGTGTGTGTTAGAGCTGTGTGTAAATTCACTATGCAAACAATTTGGGATTTTCAACACATTCATGTTTCTTATCAAAAGAAGTGATGCAGTCAGTCTCTCCTCAACTCTTAGACAAGAGAGACTGGCATGCATAGTATTTATATCAGCCCTCTGATTACAATGAAGAGCAAGACGTGCCGCTCTGTTTTGGGCCAACTGCAGCTTAACTAGGTCTTTCCTTGCAGCACTGGACCACACGACTGGACAATAATCAAGATTGGACAAAACTAGTGTCATTTGGCTAGCTAGGTCTATCACTATAATCTACCAGTATTCTCTACATTAATCTCAATTTCCTGGTTTGAGTTTTTATGTTTCATGGATATGAATAGGATATTTAAGCAATAAGGCCTGAGGAGGTGTAGTATATTGCCAATATACCACGGCTAAAGGCTGTTCTTAGTCACAGCGCAACTCTGGAGTGCCTGGACAAAGCCCTGGCTTAGTCGTGGTATATTGGCCATATATCACAAACCCCTGAGGTGCCTTATTGATATTATAAACTGGTTACCAATGTAATTAGAGCAGTACAAATAAATGTTTTGTCATTCCCGTGGTATAAGGTCTGATATACCACGGCTTTCAGCCAATCAGCATTCAGGGCTTGAACCACCCAGTTTATAATTGCAATGGGTATGACAAAACATTTCATTTTACTGCTCTAATTATGTTGGTAACCAGTTTATAATAGCAATAAGGCTTATAGATATATGGCCAATATACCACTGCTAAGGGCTGTGTCCAAGCATTCTGCGTTGCGCATAAGAACAGCCCTTAGCCCTGGTATATTGGCCATATACCACACCCCCTCGGGCATTATTGCTTAACTGTATATCTTACAGACAACTGTACTCAATCATCTTTTTGATCTTCTTTATAGCTGGACCCATACATGGATGAGAATTTTATCAAACAGGCCTTCAGCACTATGGGCGAGACGGCGTATGGCGTTAAGATCATTACCCACAGAGTAACGGGGTATGTTAATCACAGACGTGTTTAATGTAGTGAGTGATATCATGTTTTTAGCTAGCTCTCGAAAACCCTTCTCTCCATGGGGTTTTCAGCCGAAAAGTTGACGAAACAAAAAGGAGAATAGATGAGGTACCACCGTTACACAATTAGAGCAAGCAGGTATGATTTTCTCTTTGGTTTTGAGCCCACAACAATAAGGCACCAGAGCCTGCAATGCTAACACGTTCCCACTAGATAAGAAGTCTGTGAAGAGCATGAGGTGTGGCTAACGTTAGCCAGCTTGAGCTAGCATATTAACTCGGTAGCACAGCTAACGTCGAGAAGTGGTTCATTGTGGGTAGTTCCGAAGATATCCTGAAATAAGTTCAGAAATATAACCAGATTGTTACTACAGCTAAGTTACTAAGTCTTTGACCACACTGTGTTGTTACTTTGGTGAGTAAAAACTCATGCTTCCTACCCTTTAATGTTTAGAGCAAGTGTTGGGGTGCTTAATAAAAGTCCCCCGGAAAGAAGATGCCTTCATCAATAGGCGCTAAAGGTAGTTAGCGTATATGAATGGGCTAGTGTTTAGCTTTTGTTTCCTTCTTTGAAAGTAGGCCACTGACCAGTTTGTAATGCACACTGTGTCATTGTATATAGATCAAGCCACTACATGCCCAAATTAGCATCTGTCAGTGTTCAAAATACAATGTAATAGGACCCCATCAGCAACAATATCTAACCTAAAACATCACTTGTTCTAGGACCACCTGGTGTAATTTCAGTGAAGTAATTGGTTTAATTACCACAGCGCTGTGAATTGATACTGAAATTCCAAAATACAGTATTTGTGGGAAATTGTGTCCTGTTTCAAAAATGTGGTTGTATCACGTTGTTGTCACTAATACAATCTCTTGTTCTACAGAGGATCGGCAGGCTATTGCTTTGTGGAAATGGCAGACGAAGCCAGCGTTGACCGATGCGTTCACAGACTGAATGGGAAGCTAGTTCCTGGATCAAATCCGGTGAGCACTCATTATAAGCTTGACATTTCTAATATTCATAGTTCATTTAAACAACTTACTGATGTATTAGTGGACAACCACCCTCTCGTTTTAGTTTGATACTTTTTTCAAAATGTGTTGTGGATAGCGGAGCTTCACTAGCATTGGCCCCCACCTTAATTTGAGGTTGATGGAACAGAATATCTCAAATTTACATGACAGCCAAGTTACTGAGCTCCGTTTTCTTCCTGATGAAGGTGGTTGAGGCTGTTTGTAAATTTACTTTGTTTGAAGCTGGTGAATAAACTCTGTTAGGAACTAACTGACGAATGGGATAAAGCCTGTACTGGGTGGTGGAGGTATGTAAACCAAATAAAATGTTCTTCTCTAATATACTCTTTATTTTCTAGCAATATATGTCCTTACTATACGCATTTGTCTTTGAAGGTGCTTGACTGCTTGTTCTTTCTTCCTGTACAGCCCAGAAAGTTTAAGTTAAACTATGCAACTTATGGGAAACGGCCAGAAGCTGGGTAAGCTGTTTAACTTTCTTCCTCATTTTGAGGCATGCCTCTGTTGTTGGAACCTGCAGTAACGTGTTTATTATGTACACTTCACTGTGATATTTTCCACCTACAGAAAAATAGATTGTGAAAAAAGAAACCGCTAGACGGTATGATGTTGGTAACTTAGCACACCTTAGTAATCTCTCTCGCTCCGTCCCTCTCATGCCTCCTCTCAGCCTGGAATTTTCAGTCTTTGTCGGAGATCTGTCTTCAGAGGTGGATGACTACCAACTCCATCAGTTCTTCCTGAAGAAGTACCCTTCCTGCAAAGGAGGCAAAGTGGTCTCTGATCAGTACGGTAACTCCAGGTATGAACACTGAACAGACATAGTCATGTTATTTGGTGATGCCAGTAATGCACCACCTGATTTGAACACAATTTGAATGTAATTTCTGCTTCAGATGGATTAATCTGACGTTTCATTACATTTAAATTCCTTGTAAAATCGCATGACATTTTAACAATATATCTTTGTTTAATTGGATTGTGTGTAGACATATTTGTGTCTTGCGTATCTTCACCACTCTTTACCACTGGTATATTTTCCCCAAAATACTGGAAAAGGTTTGTTTCTGACATTTATGCTAAAACTATTGTTTTCCCCATATAGGGTAAGCAAGAGCAACTCACAATTGAAGTGATGCTACTTCATATTAAAAGTAAAACAACAAGTTTCAGTTCTACCATACCATTTTTGTTTTCTAATTAATTACGTGTTTGATTAGCATGATACGGTGAGCCCGGAGAGAATGTGTGCTCAGGGTTTTAGCGTTGTGCTTGGTCTCGCAGAGGTTATGGCTTCATCAAGTTTGGGGACGAGAACGAACAGAAGAAAGCCATCGATGAGTGTCAGAACGCCTCAGGCCTGGGGACTAAACCAATCAGGATCAGCATAGCTGTAAACAAGAGGTATGGTTCTATTACCGTGGAAATTATACAACATTAGGTTTGATTAGTGTCATGCTGGTCACTCTTGGTTGAAAGTTGATCTCGTATGCATGATTGTCCTCCTAACTTGACATCCGCTGAACTTAACATAATCCCCCCCCCCCCCCGCCCCCATGTTTCCTTGCTTTTTAGCCATAAAATGAACAGCTATAACAACCAGAACCAGAACTCCTACCACAACAATTACCAACAGCCGTACTATCAACAACCCAACCAGAGCTACTACCCTCATTGGGGCTATGACCAGTACAACAGCTACAACTACGGTGGCTACGGTCCCTATGGGGGGTACCCCCCTCCAGGCCCCCATGGGATGATGGGACCCCCACCTCCCATTGGCATGCCTCCCATGCCCACAGACATGCAGACTTCCTCCGAGGTAAGGCTTACTGACAAGCTCCTGGGATCTTTCCCCTCATAATTCTCCATAACTTACCCCTTAATGTAATGATATGTCCAAAAGGGTTCACAATTATTCATTTCAGTTGTCTTGTTTTTCCCGTTAGCAAACACAGGAGCCCACAGATGAGCCTGAAGAAGAGGCAGCAGAAGGTAACTCCTCACTATCCTATTACATGTACTAAAGGAAAATACAATGTGCTGCAGATAAGGTCTTTGTTGTACTTCCTTTTAAATGTATTGTTACCATTGCCTGACTGTTGCATTGACCCTGTAAAACATTGGTCACCAACCAGTCAAGATCACTTTCTGAGTCAAAATGCAAGCCGAGCTCTACCACTCAGATAAAGCCTATGCAACATTAACCAATTAAAGACAGATCTGTAGCAATGAGGTTTGTGCAGTAGGCTATTTTTTGTTATTGTTTTTTTAACCTTTATTTAACTAGGCAAGTCAGTTAAGGACAAATTCTTATTTACAATGATGGCCTACACCAGCCAAACCCGGACGACGCTGGGCCAATTGTGCACCGCCCTATGGGACTCCCAATCACGGCCGGTTGTGATACAGCCTGGAATCGAACCAGGGGGTCTGTAGTGACGCCTCAAGCACTGAGATGCACTCGGGAGCTATAGGCGCAATACATTATTACTGCATATTGGCTATGCTTGAATTGCCCTGCCAATGTTGTTCTTCTCAGACCATTTTGAAATTATATTTTAAAATGTTAGGTATATGATCACACTGGTAATAATAATTGGTCAGTCTGAGGGAAGGGAGCAGCGATGAGGCTGCCTCTCACCCGACTCACCAGCTCTCCCTCCGCTGAGAAAAGGTGGCAGTCTTCCAGCTGATGGCAAAATTCAAGTCGCATTGCATTATTTCTGCCTCATGCACCAATTCATGTTGTTACTCCTATGACCAGAGAAAGTGAAATATTCCTCGATATTAAATGAGACAAACCGCTAATAATAATGCAAGCTTATTGGAACACTTTGCTATACTTACTTATTGCAGCTGCAGGGCTGGTTGTAACGTGAGTGGAAGTAGGGAGAATGTGCATTTTATGGCTTATAAAAGTGTTGACTGTGCTGAATAACAACTTAACCATGAACTTACACATTCATTGAGTCTCTCTAGTCAAGCTTTTAAAAGTTTTTTGTTATATCTCACGATATCAACTTTGCTGTGCGTTCGAGGCTTCTTTTTACAGTCTATGGCTCGAGGAAACTGTGCAGACACGGTGATCTGATTGGCCAGCGGTAGGCCTATAGGTGTACTTGATTTGCTCTCTGGGCCTGCCGGGTAGGCGGAGTTCTACTTTCAGACACATGAAATGGTTCAAAATGGGAACACTGCCTTCCTGGCACTAGGGCTGCTGAATGAAATGCACCTACCGCCAACAGCGCGAAACAAATACTAGGACTTTTTTTTTTTTTTACAGAAATGTTTGGTGATCGACAAGGAATGCCTTGGAGACCACTGCTGTGACTAATGCCTTGGCTTGTTGACTAATTCTTTATTCTCTTCCCTGCCAGACCCCAACCCTCAGCTGGATGTGGATGCACTGAACACTGAATACATGGAAAGGAGTGAGGAGCTCTACGATTCACTCATGAACTGTCACTGGCAGCCACTGGATACCATCACTTCAAAAATCCCGCCTTTTTCCAGTTCCTGATCTGTTTCAACTTGTCCTATGAATTTAGTATGAAATGTATCTTCTCCAAAAGAGCAAAGTCGCACAGAAAATGTCAGTTTTTTTTATCACCGGTAGACACGCAGCATGTTTCTGCGCTACAGCATTTGCCATTTGTATATATTGTCTACATCCTTCCCTGTCCTTTTTTTTTTTTTTTTTTTTTTTTTTTTTTTTTAATGGAAGGAATGTTTTTATTTTTCGCTGTGCACTACATTTTCCTTCTAAATGCTAGCTAAGTCTTTCTGGCAGTGCATTTGTTATTTTTTCAGAAACTGCGTTCTTCCATTTAATTTGTTTTTAAGTTGATTTAAATGAAGTAATCAATCTCCCAGACCTGATTTGTTTGTATTTAACACCATTTTTGGTACCATCTTATCTTCAGGAAGAAAGAAAAACATTTAGGTGTGACTCACTTTATTTTTCACAAATTAAAAACTTCCATTTAAGCTTGTCTTTCAACAGTGTGCATCACACCTTTTACTTGTGCTTGAAATCTATGGGGTTCTTTTTAAAGGTGCAATATACAGCAATCGGTTGCTAAACTTCTAATAGTTCGCCCATATAAACCGCTGTGAAATATATTTTCAATAATCTGTTCGAAGCTGGTGTACCTACCTTTAAGTAAAAATGCAAAAACTAAACTTAAGAAGGTGAAGCATCTACTCTTTAGACTTGCTTTAAATTTGTGATAGATATATAACTCGCATTTCTATGTGAATTTGGTCGTGACGGCCAAAGAGTTAAATATTGCCCCTTTTAAAAAATGTGAATTCACCTTTCATTCTCATGATATACAGTTTCTCTATTTGTCTTAGACTTTTTTGTGCCTGGAGCTTTTGGAATAATTCTATTATTAAAGCTGACTTGGGGAAAAACAGGACGCTGAAGTTATGTTTGCTATGTATTATCCAATTATGTGACACAGAACAGTGGTGCTTATGCAAAGTTTAACATGTTCAATCAGTGCTATATGTTCAGGTTTGAAAGACTCCCAATCAATTATATGAAGCCTTTCAATTATCATAAAACCGCTTGTAGACAAGTTCACAAATGTCTTCTCAAGTACAATAAGTAGATGACCGTTGAAAGCAGTTTAAAAAAGGACTTGAAATTCTGTTGATGGTTTAATTAGCCTCACTATTACATGAAAGGACAAAGGAAAATCATTAGGCCAACACTTATGTTTTATGAGATGTGCGTATGGCTACAACCATTTCTCCCCCTCTTTCACTCAGGCTTAACCCTCCTCTTTCTTGGTTAAGAGTCCCACCCCTGGTCGTCCAGGGCAATACCACCTGGGTCCGAGGCAGTACCAGCCCTGATACAGACCCCTCCAGCTGAGGAACCCCAGGGCCCCTCCTAGAATCTATGTGGGGAAGTAGGCCAGCAGGCAGAGAAGCAAGAACACCCAGAGGTCCAGCAGGATGACAGAACAAGAAGGCCCGCCCAGAGTCAGGTAGAGCCCGAAAACGGCCGCCTCCTCAGCCACAAGCATAGATACAGCAAGAAGATGTGCTCAGAGACCTCAGCCGTGCCACAGCATGCCATTTCCCACACACAACTGCTTGCACGCCCCCCTCCCGTAGTAGTATGAAGGGCTGCCCGTCCACCATGGGCTGGCCATCTACAGCGCTGAGGGGCTCGTAGCAGCTCCCAGTGGTGTTCTCAAAGACATCCAGGAGCTTCCGGAACCCCACCCACAGCCAAGAGAGGTGTTGCAGCGAGGGATCTGCGCATTTAGAAGGAGAGGAGGAAGACGAAGGAGCCAACGAAGATGCAGGTCAATCCCCAGCCTGAGCGCAGGAACACTCTCAATCATGAACAAATGACAAGATGATTGGAACATGGTTTTAATTCAGCGCTGGATGCTGATTGGTTTAGAATATGTGGATGCAAACAGACTGGACATACTTGAGAAAAAGGCCTTGAAACCAACAATAAGGCAATTATGCATTATTGTTTGAGCCCATCTAAGTTCTCACCTGTAAAGAAAATGAGTCCTTTTGGCGAAGATACTGTGTTAGGAGACCCACATGCTCAGGGCAGGTCCAAACACGATCAGGCATGACAACAACAGGTGAAAATGGTGACGGAAATTGGAACTTCCCATGAGTCCGGCGGCCTGGTCAGTCAAGACCTCCAGAAAGGTATTGAGAAACATCTCAGCTGACTGAATCTGGCCTCAACTGAGACAGGAAATAAGCCTCTTCCTCTGGGTACAAAACCACACCCTATAGTTTATTTGTGTATCCAATGATCCTGTAGGTTGTTGTTCCTGTATTGTTTACTATGCTACTGGGAGTGACCAATCCTGCATGTTATAATCCAAGACCAAGACCTGCAGTTGATGTAAATCAATTTCCATGGAATCAGTCCAAAGGTTTGGTAATTCAATCAAGATGCAATCCTCTACAGGTTTTTGACATTCAACTCTTTTTGTGTAGATTACTTGAATAAAGTGGCAGGTGTCCTACGTTTCAGAAACTAACTTATTTGAATGTATACTGTAACATCCAGTTGTTCACCTCCTGTAGCCAACACAGTTGCAGTGTCCACAAATATTGCTGTTTTCTGCAGCTGAAAAATATTTTAATCCTGACCTTGACTAGGTTTCCACTCTGGATTTACTTCCACATTTCGCCATGGTTCTTTCTGTTATTTTTGAGGTCACCTCTTACTCATGCAGCATTAGTAAATGTGCTCATCCACAATACAGTAGACCGTGAAGTCCAACCGTTAGAGCTGAAGCTAAAGTTCCCCTGTCCCCCACGCCCTCAGCTCCTGTCTCACCTCCCTTTCACCCTTTCATCAACACCAACAGAGTGGGACATATGTTCTCGCCTGTATATATAATCTCTGTACTGTATTCACACCATCCCATCCACTGATGTTCTCTCCATTCTAGAAAATCAGCTGTTGGGGTAGGCCTAGAAGCCTGTCTCTGTCAATCAGTAGCACTGACGTCTGTAGCCATGAAGTGCTTTGAAAGGCTGGTCATGGCTCACATCAACAGCATTATCCCAGAAACCCTAGACCCACTCCAATTTGCATACCGCCCCAACAGATCCACAGATGATGCAATCTCTATTGCACTCCACACTGCCCTTTCCCACCTGGACAAGAGGAACACCTACGTGAGAATGCTATTCATTGACTACAGCTCAGCATTCAACACCATAGTGCCCTCTAAGCTCATCACTAAGCTAAGGATCCTGGGACTAAACACCTCCCTCTGCAACTGGATCCTGGACTTCCTGACGGGCCGCCCCCAGGTGGTAAGGGTAGGTAACAACACATCTGCCACACTGATCCTCAACACAGGGGCCCCTCAGGGGTGCGTGCTCAGTCCCCTCCTGTACTCTCTGTTCACCCATGACTGCATGGCCAGGCACGACTCCAACACCATCATTAAGTTTGCCGACGACACAACAGTGGTAGGCCTGATCACCGACAACGATGAGACAGCCTATAGGGAGGAGGTCAGAGATCTGGCCGTGTGGTGCCAGGACAACAACCTCTCCCTCAACGTGACCAAGACAAAGGAGATGATTGTGGACTACAGGAAAAAAAAGAGGACTGAGCACGCCCCCATTCTCATCGACGGGGCTGTAGTGGAACAGGTTGAGAGCTTCAAGTTCCTTGGTGTCCACATCACCAACGAACTATCATGGTCCAAACACACCAAGACAGTCGTGAAGAGGGCACGACAAAGCCTATTCCCCCTCAGGAGACTGAAAAGATTTGGCATGGGTCCTCAGATCCTCAAAAAATTCTACAGCTGCACCATCGAGAGCATCCTGACTGGTTGCATCACCGCCTGGTATGGCAACTGCTTGGCCTCCGACCGCAAGGCACTACAGAGGGTAGTGCGTACGGCCCAGTACATCACTGGGGCAAAGCTTCCTGCCATCCAGGACCTCTATACCAGGCGGTGTCAGAGGAAGGCCCTCAAAATTGTCAAAGACTCCAGCCACCCTAGTCATAGACTGTTCTCTGTGCTACCGCACGGCAAGCGGTACCGGAGTGCCAAGTCTAGGTCCAAAAGACTTCTCAACAGCTTCTACCCCCAAGCCCATAAGACTCCTGAACAGCTAATCATGGCTACCCGGACTATTTGCACTTCCCCCCCACCCCATCCTTTTTACGCTGCTGCTACTCTGTTAAGTATTTATGCATAGTCACTTTAACTCTACCCGCATGTACATATTACCTCAACTACCTCAACTAGCCACATTGACTCTGCAACGGTACCCCCCTGTATATATAGCCTCCCTACTGTCACTTTATTTTACTTCTGCTCTTTTTTTCTCAACACTTTTTTTGTTGTTGTTTTATTTTTACTTTTTTTTGTTTAAAATAAATGCACTGTTGGTTAAGGGCTGTAAGTAAGCATTTCACTGTAATGTCTGCACCTGTTGTATTCGGCGCATGTGACCAATAAAATTTGATTTGATTTGATCAGTGAGCTGGATCCCTCTCTCTCTCTCTCACTCAGCAACTCTGCCAACTTGATCTACTGTTAACAAGACACTCATCTCTCTGCATGTTTTTGCACTTTGAAATCTAGAGGTGTAGGCATATGTGATGAGAGGATGTATTTTCATGATATGCCTTTTAGTATAGACATTACATTGAGAGAGCCAAGCCTATTGGTTCGTAGCTTCAACCCCGCAGCACATACACACACCAACTGATTAATGGACTGCTGAATGTATATTATTTTCACTTGCTTTGTTTGCTGTTTTACATATTATGTCTATCTCTGATAAGCTACCCAGGAAAGGGGTGGAAATAGCCCATATTAATATACAGTGCTTTCGGAAAGTATTCAGACCCCTTGACTTTTTCCACATTTTGTTACGTTACAGCCTTATTCTAAAATTGATTAAATTGTTTTTTTCTTCATCAATCTACACACAATATCCCATAATGACAAAGCAAAAACAGGCTTTTAGAAATGTTTGCTAATGTATATAAAAAAACACCTTACTATAATCATTATTATCAGGCTCTAAAAAGGACACCATACTATAATCATTATTAGGCTCTACACACAATACCCCATAATGTCAAATATAAAACTCAAATTTCACATTTACATAAGTATTCAGACCCTTTACTCAGTACTTTGTTGAAGCACCTTTGGCAGCGATTACAGCCTCAAGTCTTTTTA